CCCATGCTTTGAAGCAATGCTTCGGCTTCTCTTCTTTTTTTTTCAAGATCTGATTCTTCTTGCACAGGAGCAACAGCTTCCTTCTTCTGATCAGTCTAAAGTTTTTAAATTAAAAACTAAGTTAAGATATGACATGAAACATTTCTATTTTCTAGAATATAAATTTCTAACACTTATTTTGAGAAAAATTAGTTCTGAATATATTTTTTATAGTCATTCATAATAGTTATATAATAGTTACTAGTAATCTCCAAATGATATGTACTTAGTTAAACCCTGTTTACATAAAATAAATCAAAGAATTTCCACAAAATTTTCCTAATAGAGAAATTAAAAATTGCAGTCTGACTTTAATTTCCTATAGCAGTGATGACAAACCTTTTAGAGCTCTCAATAACAACAGCCCGCTGTGGCATGTGTGCCATGGGTTTGCCCCCACTGCTCTACAGGATAAAACTGCTGACCATGGACAGGAATGGCAGAAACCATCCTCCTCCCCAAGTGGCACTAAAGTATGTCATTACACAATGGAAAAGAGTGGAGTTATTTAAGAAGCAAATTATCAATAAATTGACAATTTGTTGAAAAAGTTTGAACATCTCCTGTACAAAATTTTTATTATATTTTTGTAACTGTAGGTAGAGTATATATATCAAAAATTCATCCAGAGAAAGTTTTTCTTTTTAAATTACATGTATTTATTTTTAAATTTAAGAAACAGGGTAGCTGGGTGTGGTGGTACAAGCCTTTAATCACAGCACTCTGAGAGGCTGAGGCACGAGGATTAGGGTTTCAGTCCAGCTTGGGCAACTCAGCAAGACCCTATTTCAAGAAGAAAAGCCCAGCTTCAGGTGTAGAAAGAATCTCACTATGTTGTCCACCTAGCATTAAGCTCCTGGGCTAGGGATGGGGATGGAGGGGGGGGAGATGGCTCAGTGGAATACGCACTTCCCTGGCAATGGCAAGGGTTTGAGTTCAATCCCCGGTTCCACCAAAAAAAAAAAGCTCCTGGGCTCAAGCAAGCTTTCTTCCTCATCCTCCAGGATGAGTCAGGACTACATGTAGACGCCACTGTACCTCGCTTTCAGATCTTACTTTAATAGTACAAATATATGGTTGAGTTTTGTTAAAATTAAAATTCCTTTTGAAAAACACAAAACATTTTTCTGTCACGCAAATTTAGCAACTTTTATTTCAGTCACCTCAGTGCTCCCAGATCATCCAAAAAAATCTCAAGTAAAACCTTAGCTTTCAAGGGAAAAGTTTTGTATGCACACCTCAAATGATGTCAACTAGATAATTATTATACGAGTAAATTCTGTTAGTTAATATGAGTAAATTCTGTTAGTTATCATACTATGATATCATTGTTCCTTAATCAAAATAGCAAAACGGGATTACCAAGCTGATGCTTTACAATATAATATAGTAGACCCACTGCTTATTACTAGTGAATTATCTCTTACAATATTTTATAAACTTTAAACTAGATAGCAATACCACAAATAGATATCCCTTGGAGATCACTTATGGCTAGAAAACAAAAACCAAATTTTCTCTCAGAACTGAAATATTTAAGGGTGTGGATACTATTTAGGAAGGCTCAGCCAGTCTGAATCATGCTTCTATTATTATATCAGTTATCTTTTTTTTTTTTAAATGTATTTGGTACAGGGCTCACTATGCAGCTTGGACTCACAGTGACCCTCCTGTTTCAGCCTCCCCAGTGCTGGGATTACAGGCATGCGCCACCATGCCCAGTTTTGGTGGCTGGCTCAACGTGCCTGGGGTAGACCAGCATGGCATGTAGTGCTGGGGATCAAACCCGGGTCCCTATGCTTGCCAGGCAGGTGCTTAGACCTACTGAGCTATCTCTCTAGCCCTGTTAGCTTTGATCAAATACCTAATGTAAAGTTCTAATCTTATCATGGAAAGATTCAGAATAAAATAGCACATTCTTCCATTATAGGTATCATTATATCATCATAGCAATGTCACACACAAATTGTACCTCTGACTTTTCTGCTACACACTTTTCTCTTAGTCTCCATAAGATTTCTAGTTACTCTTAACTATTATTTATGCTATGCCTTATAAAACTTGGCACCAAAGGCATATTTAAGACAGACTAACTTACATAGTCAATTTAAAACATATATGTAGTAAAAATATTCATAATCTGTCTTTAAATTTTTTGACAGTGGTCAGGCATGGTGATGCACGCCTGTAATCACAGCACCCAAGTGGCTGAGGCAGGAAGATCACTGTGAGTTCAAGGCCAGACTCAGCTACAAAGTAAGTTGAAGGCTACCCTGAACAGCATAGTGATAGACTGTCTCAAAAAAACCAAAAAAATTATTTCAAAAAAATCCATAAGGACCAGGTACATCCTGTAATTCTAGCACTCAGGATTATGAGGCAGGATGACTGCCACAAGTTCAAGGCCAGCCTGGACTACATAGAGAGACCTTGTCTCAAAAAACAAACAGGGGCCAGGGAGATGGCTCAGTGGAATAAGTGCTTCCCCAGCAAGCACAAGGGCCTGAGTTCAATCCCTGGTTCCGAAAAAAAAAAAAAAAAAGAGAAAAAGATTTTCCATTGGGATAAATGTTTCAATGCAGGAATAAGTAAAATATCTCAAGGTCAGGTTAATGTATATTTGTTCTATATGATAAAATATGTTTTAACAAAAGTCAGTATCAAAAATACCTGGTTCATCTTTGTGGTACTATGTATGAAATCAACAACTCAAGAAATATATTTCAATGATTAGCTCATGATAAAAGACAGAAATACAAATAAAATCAATTAAGTCTATTATATATTTCTGTTTGCCATTAGTATTATACATTCTGACAAAATTATTAGATTTTACTAGCAAAATGTTCAAATAGTTCAAAGTCTTAAACTAAGTTATGATATTACAATGCAGACGCTTTTTATTTTAATATATTCTTAGAAGATCACATTTATCAATTGAACATCCACAAAGGAAATCTTTTAAAAGTATTATCCTAGCTTTTCTCGCTTCCTGGCCATCTTGGCGGCTGCTTCTGGTTGAGGGCCATCTGCACCCACGACAAGAAGATGGTGGCCGAAGGAAGACGAAAATATCTCTGGAGTCTATCAACTCTAGGCTCCACTTGTTAGGAAAAGTGGAAAATACATGCTAGGGTACAAGCAGATGCTGAAGATGATCAGACAGGGCAAAGCGAAATTGGTCATCCTTGCCAACAACTGCCCAGCCTTGAGGAAATCTGAAATAGAGTACAATGCCATGTTGGCCAAAACTGGTGTCCACCTCTACAGCGGTAATAATATCGAACTGTGCACAGCATGAGGAAAATACTACAGAGTATGCACACTGGCAATCATTGATCCAGGTAATTCTAGTATCATTAGAAGCATGCCAGAACAGACTAGTAAAAAATAAACCAAGCAGAATTTTTCATTAATACAACATGCCACAGCTTGAAGAAAAAAAAAAAATCCTAAATGGAATAGTTTTAGTCAGTTAAAAACATCATATTTAAATTTACCAGTTTTGTCATTTTTCTGTACCTGGTTTCTATAATGTAAGATTCACTTACAGTGCTATATTTGCAGTTATAACTAATAGATTTTAATTATTTTAAAATTATGTAAAGGCATAAATACTTGAAATACAGCCAATTATTTTATATTGAGCTATTTTTTAGTAATGAAACATACTTCTTTTTTTTTTCTTTCTTCTTCTTTTCTCTTCTTTTCTTCTCTGATTTGGGCCAACCGCTGCTTCTTCCGTTCCAACTCAGCCTTTAATTCACTTTTGTCCGACATGTTTGTGACCTTAAGAAGCATACAATCATTTACAATTATCATTACACTGGTATAAGTAGCACATGAAAAAAAATATTAGAGACCATGTATTTTGTTTTGTTGTTGTTGTTTTTATGTATTTAGTACAGGGTTTCACAACACAGATTGGCCTCATAGTGATCTTCCTGTTTTTAGCCTCCCAAGGCCTGGGATTACAGGTGCGCTACCACACCCAGTCTCAATCTCTGTCTTGGTGCACCCCCAGGGGCAGAGCCAGCACAGCATGGGGATCGAACCCCAGTCTCCTGCATTGTCTAAGCAGGCACTTTAGTCCACTGAGCTATCTGGCTGGGCCCTAGACCATGTATTTTGATGCTATCTAAGGAGAAGAATGTATGTAATTGTACATTTAAAATAATGGAACCAAGCAGGTGTTATGGCTCATGCCTATAAGCCCTGATACTCAGAAAGCTGAAGAAGGAAGGTCAAAAGTTTGGGTCTCTCTTGGGCAAGTTAGTAAGACCTTGTCTCAAAAAGTAAATTAAAAAAAATAAATAAATTCAATGATAACAATAGCAATGAAAACATATACATACTATTAATAGAAGAAACATTACTGTATAAACAAATCGTATATGAAAACTATTATCCCATGATGAGCACAGGTGCCAACATGCAGTGAAAGCTTTAGGGTTCACATGCTCAAATTTAATACAACAACTCAATTTTTTACATCAATATATTAGTGCACTGGAGAGCTAAAGGTCAAAAATAGCACTTACCACAGGCTGGCATTAAGAAGCTGTACAATACCTGACAAAACTGTTAACAATTCTACACTCATTTCTAGAAACTTTACAAATACAACTGAAAGTAAAACAGAAAATTACTATGAATTCTAAAAGTTGCAATTAGTAATAATAAAGACAAGCAAAACACAGCATTTGTTAACACAGTTAACAAACCAAACGACCTTTTACTGCTCTGCAGTAACATCTCAACTACACTTCTTAAGGCACTTTTAGTACAATTTTTATGAAGACCCCTGAGAACGTAATCTATATGAAATCAGCGTGTGTTTTTGTCATTTCTATTATCTTCACAGCATCCTAGCACAGTGACTTCAACATAGTGACACTGACTAAATGATTAACAGGCAAGGAAGACAGAATTACAGAGATTCAAAAACAACCTCCATTTGTACTACAGTACTTCAACCTTAGCACTAGGACACAGTAATGAATTATTTTTTTAACTGAAAAGTAATCTGAACATACACCAGAAGCCAGGAACTCTCTACATATTTTGTATTTCTATTATTACGTATTACTATTCTTACTATCATGGGCAGGGGAATTGAGGATTGAACCCAAGGCCTTCCCACTAGGGGACCCCATTCCCTTGTTCAAAGGCAGGGTTCGGCTAAGTTGCCATGTCTTCTAGAATGAGCTGGAACTTTCAATCCTCAGCCTCCAAAAGTACCACCACACCCAGCTCATATACTGTTGATTTTATATGTAATGATAATCTCTGTCAATGTCTGTACAACTGAAACATTAAATGATCAGGAAAACTGGGAGAAAAACCTCTGGAAAAAAATCTATTTATGAAGTTTCTTTACAGTGAATAAAGATATATTAGTTAAGAGGTAGAATCCAGCTATTAATAAATGCGGTAAAGGAAATTTTAGTTATAATGTTCCATAGTCTAACGTGTGAGTTAAGAACCGTGAAAAGTTGGTAAGGCTGACTCTTTTTTTTTTTTTTTTTTTTTTTTTTTTTTTGCAGAACCAGGGATTGAACTCAGGCCCTTGCACTTGCCTGGGAAGCACTTATTCCACTGAGCCATCTCCCCAGCCCCTAAGGCTGACTCTTGAATACACTACTAGGAGTCATTTGAACAAACTAAAAACAAGGAACGTTTCTTATTTGGCCCTTCTTACACCTATAAGAAGCTTCAAACTAACAGCAGTGGGAGACAAATGTCACACCCACCTGCATCTAGGTTGGGCGAGTATTTTTGTTCAGCCTTAACGATAAGGCAGACACGCCAATACTAATTTATATCTAGGTTAAAGCATACGTTGTTAGTCAATCACCAGCAATAAAGTTTGTCGGGCTGAGCCTCGGGGGGCCTTGTCATCCCCAGAGGCCAGCGCCTTACGACAGACTCTACAATTCCACGCCACCGCCCTCCGCAGGGCGGCTGTCCGGCACACACAGGTGAGGGGAGTCACCCCCAACCCGAGTCACGTCCTTCATTCGTAGAACGGAGCAAGGCGAAAAGGCCAGCCGCAACTTTCTCCCGCGGGCTTCCGGCCAAGCGGGAGCGGTCCAGCTGCCGCGTCCGGCGTCAGGGACGGGGCGCCGCATGAGCCCCCGGCTCCGCGCGCCGCCAAGCAGGGGAGGCACCGGACTCCGCGCCCCGGGCCGCACCGCCTCGCGTCCGGCTCCCCGCCTCGTCGATGCGCAGCCGGCGCAGGAGCTGTCAGCAGCAACTGCCAAGCCGACCTGGGACGCAGCGGGCGGGAGGGCCTTGAGGGGGGGAGAGCCAACTCACCTGTCCGGTGGCGGGATGGGGACGCGTCCTACCGCCTGCAACCTCTGGGTTAAGTCCCTAGTTTAAGCCCCAAAGCCAACTGTCGTCACCACCAGCTCAGCTGCTTCCGAGGCACACAAAGAGGGATGGGCGGCGGCTGCTACGGAGAGGACGTAGGGACAAAAGGCTTCGCCAGACCGGCGTTGCTCTTAGAAACACGGTGCTGGCTTCTGAAGCCGCTTTTGACTTACCTCTTGGAAAAGCGATAGATGAGACAAATGGTTCAGCCCAGTCTGGGGATCCGAAGTATTTCCACTTGGCTAAAGGTGGAAAGCTACGCCTAATACCCCGCGCGCAACCACTGCCTTCCGCGTCGGAATTGGTGCAACATGGGAGAACTACAAGTCCCAGCAACAAGGCGAGCAGTGCATCTTGGGGGTTGTGGTAATTGGTTGTCGCAGGGCATGCTGGGATAGGTAGTATCTTAACTTTGGGTCTTCCACTTCAGGCCTTCCAGATTCCAATAGGAAGATAGCAGCACTTTGGTATTCTTTTAAGGTGGACAATGTTGAGAAAGTTTCATGTTATGTCTTAAGATCATTGACCCTATATTATAGGCAGAATTTTGAGAAGGGTGCTTTTTCATGGTGAACCTGAAAACTGGGTGAATGACACATTTTAGGGTACATGTATGAGATATATGTCCAAAGATATGATTATAGAACAGACCTATTGAGGATTCATATGATATCTGAGGTGAATCTAAATACAAATAAATTAAGTGGTATACCTAATATTTCTCTAGGGTTTTTTTTTGTTTTTTGTTTTTGTTTTTGTTTTTGTTTTTGGTGGAACCAGGGATCGAACTCAGGGCCTTGCACTTGCCAGGGAAGGGCTTATTCCATTGAGCCATCTCCCCGGCCTACTAGTATTTTGTTGCTGTGTAGCAGCATCTTGGTTTTCTCTCAAAACAGTTTCTGAAAAAAAAAAGTTTTGGTAATAAACCGGTTTATTTATTTATACATGTTTGCAGTACATAATATTTACATTCCTTGTAGGGAGTTGGTAGATGTACATAACACATCTTAATTCCTTTTCTCATTCCCTCCTCCTCCATTTTCTCGCTATTCCTTCCCTCTCTTGAGTCCCTCCTTCACGTTCAAAGCTTTATTTACTTGTCAAAGATATGAAGTTATATTATCCTTAACAGAGAGAGAACTCTAGTTTGTGAAACTGTCAAACACAACAAACATTCACAAATGCAGAAATAAAATCACAATATTTTAACAAAGCAAGAACTCTAGGAAATTTTCTTCTTTACCCCCCTTATTATGTATCTCTTACTTTGTTTTTGTTTATATTTGGGTTTATTATATGAGAAATCACACAGTATTTAAGCTTGTATGTCCACTTAATTTCATTTAACATAATGGTTTCAAGATGTATTCATTTTCCTACAAGTAATTCAAGTTTATCTTTATTTATTACAAAGTAGTATCAAGTATATAAATGCCACATTTTCTTTAGCCATTGGTAGATGTATAAGCCACTTCTAAGATTTAGCCATTGTAATAGTGCTGCTATTTAAATATTGTGAAAAAACATGGGAATACATGTGTCACTGTAATATAATGTTTGTAACTCTTCTGAAAAAATACGTAAGAGGGGAACACCCAATATTTAGAATTTCTAGTTTTATTATTTTGAGGATTCCCCATACTTACTTCCATAGTGTTTAAACCAGTTTACATTCCTACCAATAATGTAGAAGGTGCACTTTTTCCTTTCAGATTTGTCAGCACTTGCTATTATTTGATGTCTTGATGATAGTCATTCTTTCTGGAGTAAGATGGTATCTCAGTGTTGTTTTAATTTGCATTTCTCTAATGACAGAGATATTGAACTTTACAATGTATTTATTTGCTACCTGTACTTTTCTTCTGAAAAATGTCTATTCATTTCAGTTGCTCGTTTTCTTTTTAGTGGATCTTTTGTTAAGGGGTAATTTTTTGAGTTATTTATATATTCTAGAAAGTAATTTTCTGATGAATAGCTGGCAAAAAGTTATCCCATCTGTAGATTGTCTCTTCACTGTTGATTAGGATATGATAAGGTCCCATTTGTTGATTCCTGGTATTGTTTCTTGTGCAACTGGGATTCTGTTCAGAAAGTTCTTGCAGATGCAAAGAGTAGCTTTTCAAGAATTTTACCTATTTTATCTTCCAGCAGGTTTCTGTTTTGGTATTTATTTATTATTTTTGTTTGCTTGTTTGTCTTTGAGGCAGGGTCTTACTATGTAGTGCAGGCTGGCCTTGAACGTGGTTGTGTAGCCCAGGCTGTCCTCAAACTCATGGAGATTTTTTTGCCTCAGTCTCCTGAGTGCTGGGATTACAGATGTATGTCACTATTCCTGGCTGTTTTAATATCTAGATCTTGATCTTAATTCAGTGCATGGTAAGAGATATGGGTCTAGGATCAATCTTCTGCACATAGTTTTCCCAGTACTATTTTTTTAAAAAAACCTCTCTTCCCTTCAGCATAAATTTTTGGCCTCCTTGTCAACGCTCAGGTAGCTGAGTGTGCCTAGAGTTGTTTCTGCATCCTTTATTTTGCTGCATTGATCCACAAGTCTGTTTTTGACAATGCCATGTTATTTTTATAATTGTAGCTTTTGATTATGACTTTCAGTCCTGGATCATGATGCTTCCCACCCTTGATCTTGTTGCTGTTTTAGGTCATTACTGGTTCTTTGTGAATTTCAGGATTGTTTTCTCTAGTTCTATGAGGAATGCTATTTGCATTCTGATTGGGACTGCATTAAATTTATAAATCAATTCTGGGAAGTTTGGGAAGTATGGACATTTTGATTATATTTGTTCTTCCTATCCAGGGATAA